ATTCAGTTTTAATGTTACCAAAATTAATATTTTATAAATAAATTCAATAAAATTCCGCAAAAGAGTAAAAATCTTTCAAATTCAAAGTACTTCCGGTTTCGATTTCTCAACTTCCGGTTCGTTTTTTTGTTCTCTTGACATAAAAAAACTGCTATAACTTCGTAAATAATTGGAGTACAAGCAAAAGTAAGGTATTTTTAGAAAGAAGAAAAATTCAAATATTAAAAATATCAAATAAAATTTTTTTTTGTCATGTTCATCAAAATTGACGATTTTACACTAGTCAGGCACCTTAATAAAATGAATACAGAAAACCCTGGGGTGTTTACCTTACGGGATATAAACATTTAGATAAATGCAGAATCCGTGAATCAATTCATAATGCAGACCCCAAAACAAAGAAAAACAGGAAAATTATAAGAGCACTTAAAAAGAAAATTAGTGTTCTAGGAAGTCAAAGATGGGGAGAATTATAAATCTGGTGCATTTTAATAAGAAATTAAGTGTTTTTATTGTAATCAGAATAGTTTAATGTTATTTTTGTCGTTTTCTCAAATGAGTTTTTTTACATTTTTCTTACCGCAAAACACAATATCTCAAAAAGTTATGCTTGAATGAAATAAAAAATTTTATATGTATGTTTTTTTAAATACTTATATAGGGAATAGACCATTCTTAAGATTTTGTGTTGAGTAGAAATTTTTTATATAGCAATAAAGTAAAAATTACAATAGCTTTTAAGAAAATTTCAACGTATAGAAGTTCGAAACACAATAACTTCCCACGTAATGGTCATATTACCAAAAATAAGAGTCTATTCCCTAGATAAGGTTGTATGCTATATTATTCAATTTACAAAATGTCAATATATTTATTTTATTTTCAGTTATCATGTTTTGCGTAAAGTCTTATTTTTGCTTATTTTTTTTATAAAATACCCCTTTGACTCTAAAAATGTACACTATCAAAACTTTTCTTGGCTATTTTTCTAATTTTAGAGACCCCATAAGGTCATACAATATGCATTTACAGGCAAAATTCAGGTTAATTCAAAACATTTTCTTCGAAGATGTTCTGTTACCTTAAGAGAAAATCTAAAAGTACTGGTCAAATGACTAATATTCACTTTCAATTTTAAAACACGAAAAAGAATTTTAATCAAGATATATTTTTAGAAAAAAATATGGAACGTTGTTTGCTATGAGAAAGACACGATTTGAAAACTCTCTTTGTAATACATTGAAAACTCAAAATGGAAGGGAATTTTCACATACTTACTTCTTAATTTCTAAGCATAACTATTTAAATAAATTATCCTTTAAAACACAATATCTTCAACCTTCTTAATATTATACTGTTACGTAGATCGGAGAGAGTTCGAGGATTTTATAATATTAGTCTCAAAGATCAAAACAGTCCTTTAAGAGTGATAAAAATTTATTGTAGAAAAAATAAAATTCTTGAAATATAGGATACAGCACCTAAACTCGCTCAATAAATCCTGGTTTTCACACCGTCTACAGCACTCAGATACAACTAGCAGTGTCTAAAATTCATGTTAAAGATTATTCACAAGCACTCGCTCGTTCTATTCATCAGTCGAAATAACAAATAATTGTTGTTGTTTCTTCAATGGAAAAAATAATATTAACTCCGCTTTAGTAAGTAGCTTCTTATTTTTCATCTGCACGGATTTTTCTCGAAAAATGCCTATTATGTCATAGATCATGATGTTGATAAATTTCTCCTGTAATTTCCAGAAACAGCCATATGGTCGCCAACTTGCCAAAAATGGTCACGAAATTCATAAAAATATTCATATCTTTCTGTATTATAAATACCAAAATAGAAATTATTTTTACTTTTTATGTATAGTTTCTGAAGTAATGTTTAAAGATGGCAAATATTAGTTTACTAAAATTAGATTTTATTTACCTATAATGTTTATAATTAATTTTTTTAGCTGCGGTTTATAATACGTAAACAAGGAGTATAATCGCCTTAAGAGTCAGCTTATTAATATCCCACAGGTAAAACTAATAACCATAACCATAACATTCACGTCTTATATATTTTTTCCACTATCCTTGTACGATCGTAGATTCCAAGTGCTGGGTGGGAGGGGGGAGAACTAAAAAATAAATTTTGAAGAGAATGCTGTCCTATTTGTTCGAGGATATCTTTCTATCGAGTGATATTGAAGAAAAATAACTTTTGGAGACTTTATTCCACTTAATGTATTTTAAACCAAAATTGAAATAAACAATTGTAATCAAAAAAGTTTTGGAAATTTATATTTTTATCGTAAACTATTTATTTGAACAAAATTTAAATTTTGATATTTAAACGCACATTATTTTTTTAAAAAAATATATGTACGTAACTGAGAGAATTTTGGGGGTAATTTTAATTAAAAATATTTTCGTGTTATGTTTTGTATATTGTTGCAAATTTGTATGTTTGAGGTGGGGGTGCGGAGCAGCCTATGACTTCAATAGTCAAATAATAAATTTATTAATGACGAGAGTAATGATTACTCGAAGACAAATCAACCTAAATACACAAAGAGATATTAAAACATATTACTTGCAGTAATGGGAAAAATTCACTTGTTATAAACAAGCTATACAAAAGCTCCAAAACATAGTTTTCTGGAACAAATTCACAAGCAAAAATTAAGTTAGATAACGCATCTGTTTTGTCACAGACAACACAAAAGCAGACTCTGGCATTTTACTCATATATCTTTATATTATCTATCTTTATATAAACCCCTTGATGTTTTTAGAAGCGTCGATACCTGTAACTTTGCGAAGGTTTCTTGAGAATATAATTTATCACCAAATTTGTCGCCAAATCTATCAGCAAGGTCGAACATGTCGCCGATCTGGTAACTCTCCTCTCTACTTAGTGATTATCAATATCTTATTCAAGTTATGTTAGAAGAGCACATTTCCTGTGAAACACTTTTTCCAACCAGCAGTGTTTTATTGCAAGAAAAAAAAACATACTTGAAATGTTTCCAAAAATTCTACAGAAATCGGCACTGGGGGCGCCACACGCAGCAATCAGTGCTTGACTGCGTGTAATCGGTAGAAATCGTTACAAATAATAAAAAAAATAACATGTCTGTGAGAACTGCAAACAAATCATATTTTTAGCATTTAATGAAATAAAACTAAGAATATATCAGTCTTTTTAAGGTATACGACTACGTTCGAACCGGGATTTTGAAAAGCATTCAAATGAATAATTTTTTCGCATATTTAGTATTACCTGATTTAAATTATACATAAATTTTTTTAAGAATTTTATTACAAGGAAAATTATGCAAATGCAATGTTTCGGCCAAAAAATTAAAGAAAAATGATATATTTTCAAAATATTCTCTCTTTTATGAAAATGCTTAAATAATAATAATATTTTGTTTTTATATATAGCTAAGACTTCTATACAAAGCGTGAGCTAGGATTTTTAAAATATATTATTTAGAAGATGATTTATTCATATTTTGATACATAAGAATAGAGAAAATATAACAAAAAAAGCATCGGTTATTACTTCAATTGGTAGTAACTCTTAAACTGATATGATTTTTCAGATCTGGATCTTTACATCAGGGTATTAGTTGTTTAGCATATTAATATTACATCACCTATAGAAAGATTTTGTAAAATATATTTAATACAGTACAACCTGCTTTTGTGCGGTCCTCTTTTTATGCGATTTTATTGTTGTGTGATCTCCTTTTATGCGGTATATAGTTTCTACGGCTTTGGCATCACTGTAATGTTTTATGCTAATGTACTTCACTTCAACACGCTCTGTTCATTTGTTATAAACAGTCTCCCAACAATGCACGTTCAATTTCTTTCTATCTACATGCTAATAGCACGTGCTTGATTGAACATGAAACTGTCAATAATTTGATTAATTTGAAGACAGACAAACAGAAGCGGTTTCTGCAAGAGCGAATAAAATATATTCAGGTATCCAGCTTTGCAACAAAAAATCGGAACAGAATTTTCTTAAATTAGATAACAATTCCTATATAGGGAATTTGAAGTTCCTAAATGAGCTTATAATGCATATCGGGCTATCATGACGTTTCAAGCAATTAACCAACTGACCGTCGTCGCAAAAAACTTATCACTTACTTTATGATGCCAAAAATTAAATCAATTGAAATAGAATTTTCAAGTGACGAAAGTGATTTATGAGTATTTCTGAAAAATTTCAAATTAATAACCCTTTAACACATTTTATGGTGGTCATAAATCTTGAACCGGTTTTATTAGATCCTAACTTCCCGAGAGCAAAGAGTTCTGGACGTTTCATCCATGAAGTGCAACCCTTAATCCCCTTTGCCCAGTTCACTAGAAACATCTTTGATATCCTCTTCACCCCTCTGTAGTTGTCCTGTGTCCCCGTGTTCTAATTATAAAAATAATGTATGTTTAAAGTTACTTGTATGTTTTAAATTGTAAAATGTCCTTGAAATTTTTTAATTTTAGTATGGAACTATTTTCTAAATATTGAAAATACAGTGAATTCTTCGACATTTTTTTCTTGTTTTCTTTGCAATTTTTCTTTCTTTCTTTTTTTTTTGATGGGTAAGATATATAAAAAATAAACATGTATTAATTTAAAAGGGTGTGAATAATTACTTTTTTAATATATAGTGTTTATGAATTTAAAATTTGTTTTATGTGGTTTATAAAATATATTAAAAGATGAACCTATATATAACGAATTTTCCATATAACGAAGTTTTTTCCGGGATTTAGCGACTTCATTATATAAAGGTTCGACTGTATTTATGAAGTTTTCGAATATTTTTAATTGGGTTTCTTTTTTTTTATGCAATCCCTAACTACCGCACAAAAACAGGTGTTACTGTATTGTAAAATGAACTAAACTAAGCCAGATTGTCTGAAGTAGTTCAAAGTCTATTTTCAAAAATTTATTTTATGCACCCGAAAGACAAATAAATAAAAAAATGGAGGTGCGGGGATTTGAACCCCTCGGCCTTCACATGCGAAGCGAACGCTCTACCACTGAGCTACACCCCCACTGCATGTTCCAATTGTGTAACATAAATCATTAGATTTTCTTTCATTGTATGTAAACCAGTGTACATTAATAGCAGGTGTCATTTATTGTACACCTGGGAGGAAGGTACTTTAGCGACACAGGTGGAAAATAAAAATATGTGATTGTGAGTTAAGAGAGAAAATGTTTATTGTTTAATAGTATAAATTTTAGTGCTTGTGTTTTTTTGTATTTTTTTAAATATTCGCTTATCAATTCATTAATGAAAAATATATCAATATATATATACATAGATTGATGTAACTTAACTCAATCAAAGGTTTATGTCTGAAAAGATATGGTCTACACATTTCTAATTCTATTAACTTTTATGTTTGAATCAAATATAAATTGTTTTTAAAAAAAATTTTTCCTTGGTAAAAATTTTTGAAAAATAATTTTTAACTATAAATTTCTTCTATTGAGTTGTTTTGGCTAATGCTACTGTGTCTGACGTAGTCATATCGAGGCCTAAGAAATTCATCGTTGCAAGGGGCTAGAAGTACGCCCGTCGTTGGCCTAGGCCTTGAGCACCATGCAGGTGACAGTAGGGAATTAACTCAAAGAAGTTCTCGAAGGACGATAGATTGCGACACCACCTATCTCCACCTCTCAATTTTGGCATGGAACTGAAGGGGAGGGAAATATTCTCCAGTTCCCTGCACTCGTGATTCAGCCTACAAGACTTTCGACCCACTGATTTAACGAACACGTACTCCGTGTGTACTCTGAGGGTATTTAGTGGCACTGGGCATCGAACCCAGGCCTTCCGGTCTGAGTCCGATGCCTCACACTTGGCTACCCACGGCCTACCAAAATTTCTAAAAGTTTCAACTGCGGTTTATTGTTACCCGTTATTACAAACAATTTCAAAATACAATTCATAAAATGCCGTATTTAATTTCTTAAAAATATTTATGCAATCTAAGTGGCAATATTTATGCTGAACATACCATCCAGTCCAGAGTTTGCTTTTTGTAGCATTCTGTGTGAAGCCCCCACCCGTGGGGACCTCATTTCTACATTATCTACGCGACCTGTTTCTGTGAAAAGGAACGAAAAATCACTCTGACTGTTCATCTTAATATCTGCTTATTAAGATCTTAACTTAAACACAATACACAACAACAATAATTAAGTAAGATGATCTAGAATGAGAAGACGCAACACGTATTACCAAATAATTGCGTAATTGACCACTTAATCTTACTTTATATATTAAATGCTACTTCACTAGTAATCGCACTAATTAGCTTACCGCTATATCCTAGGTAAACAGCTATCTTCAGAAACACTTCTGACCTGGCTTTAATCCGACTCTGATCACTTTTAGCCTCAGATCCTCCTTTGGGTTGACAATACTGGAACGACTAGACTAATTCTTGGACTTCTAGACTTTATCTCAAATCACTTCTACACATAGACATAGACCTTACATAGCCACCCCGCGAACGCTAAACTTCCACTATATATATGATTCCTAACTTGCATAATCATGTTCTTCTTCCTGAGTTAGTTGGAAATAATTGCCATTTCGTCCCCAAAGAAACCCCAAGAGAACATTAGTAGAAATTGCGATGAAAGCCCCGTCACGACTGTAATGAACAAAAGGGTGAGGTTTGAGGATTCAACCTCCCTCCCACTCCTTTCTATAGATCAACAAATTTCAGAAAGATTATCTCTCAGTGCTTTTGTTTATTTGTATTTTTAGAATGTAACTCTCTCCTCATAGAAGAGGGTTTGTGTATGCTACAAGTTAAATAAAGAAGTGTTTATTAAAATGCAACTCAAAAATCCGGATTGTTTTGACTGCACTCTTTATCAAAAATTAGCTAATTCCCTTGTAAATGTAATTCTAATCAGTATTAAAGGTTTCTTTTCTTGATGTTTTACTTTCATTTCATTTATTTATTTTTACTAGCTTCAAAGATAATCTTAAAAATTCTATACTTATTTAAGGTATCTGAACACGTTTGGAAGTCCTTTTTTAAAAAACAGCATGCTGAAATAGTATAAATGTTTTTTAGGAACCAATACCAATAAATACTAATATTTAACTAACAACATTTTAAAAATAAATATTTATCTAAATTTTATAAAAATCACATTTAAAAGTGAAATTTAAGTAATATTTTTGAAAAACTACAAAGCAATTAAAGTAAAAAAGTGATAAACTTATATCAATAAAAGTATTACTAAAGCAAATTAGATGCATTTATCTTAAAAATGTACTAAGATTTTAATGTTTTGTTAAAACTTTAGAGCCGATCAAAGTAAAATATTCTAAGAAATGGGACATTTTTTTAGGGAGACTCATTATTTAAATAACAGGCCATAATTAAAAAAATATTCATACAGTAAGAAATGTTTCAGTACATTCTCTAAAAATAATATAAATAGTAGGTTCAAGAAGTTGTACAGAAATACATTTATAACATTTTAGAGTTATCAGACTCTCCATGATATATTTCGAACAATTTAAACGCCCGTTATTGGTAGATTAATGACCCACTTCCGATTTTTCTAATATAAAATTGATTGTAATCTGGCTTCTACGTAGCGTAGAAACAAAAAAAATGTTTTGTAAATTTAAAAGATAGCTCTAATCAATAAAATAAAACAAAACTATGTATTTTGATAGACTTTGAGCCCATTTCAACGTGTTATGTAGTACATAGCATGAATTCGATTCAAAATATATTCTGGGAAAAATAATTTCAGCTGAACGTCAAATCAAATCGCACACAAGTTTCAAAGACCTTAAGTCGGTGTTCTGTAAAAGCTTAATCTTTAAAATTCTGAGATGTATATCGTGCACTGTAAATTTTTTCGTATTTACTTTGGCTAAGGCACTGGTCGTCCCTCTCCTTGTCAAAAAATAACATGTATAATAATTGTCTCTCAAATAAAAATTTATGCTCCCCTTATTAATGATATGAAAAACATGATACAGAAAAATAAGATAACTGATGCGATTGAAATTGTTTTTATCAACGACGCATTTCAAAGCTGCGCGCGGACTATTGGCCAACGAACCACGTAATTCTGAATATCGGTCACGTGATGAGGATGACATCTGAACTAGTACCCTGCATTCCAAACTTTTACACTTCTCCAATATGAATGCTTGAGTCATGACAAGGGGGAATCTTCCACACCCTAATCGATAATCTACGAAGGCTGGGGCATAAGTCATGGCAACTATTTTTTCTTGTATATATGTGAATGGATCACAAACGTATATGTGTCGTGTGGAAGTTCTGCAGGCATAGATGTGTATACAAAAGCACAGATGGCTCTGTGGTAGCTGGTAGTAGCGCAGCGAGGGCTGTGAAATCAGTCGGTTGGTGAATGTCGTGTGATGGAAGTAATCCGTGTTGAGCAGCGTTCTTACATCCAAATAGTCGTTCTCCGAGGAAAAAATGTGATGGAACATCACAGTGAGTTAGTGGAAGCCCTATGGAAAAAATGCCTAACCTTATCGTACGGTAGCACGGTGGATGTACTGTGTACTATATTGTCATTCTTCTTTGCACCGTGAAGATCATATCACCCTGTATACTACCGTAATATGAATTAGTGCGTCACGATATTTTGGGTGCTATTCATTGTCCACACATGTAGTTAACACCTTGTTATTTCGTCAGTATATGTCACATTTTTCAACCGGACTGGTATCTTCAAGAAAAAAAACTAGTTGCCATGACTTTTGCTCCAACCCTCGTATTTGAGTAGTATGATGTTTATTAAAATAAACCAAAATTTATATTTTGAGCCAGATATTAGAGGATATTTGTCTCGGGTTAGTGTCTGGGTTAGTAGCTTCAGGATTACTAGAGAGTTTTTAATATGTATAGAATCGCATGAGTACAGAGGTTTTCATATTTTAAAATAAACTGGATAGTACAAGTTGTAATCTAATAGTTAAGAAGTTATGATAGGACTATAAAAATAATGTCGTTATACTATTCGTTGGAAATTTGGTCCAAAATAGAGAGAGAGAGTCAGAATTCTTTTTAAAAAAACCAAATCTAAAAGAAATTTATGTTTGTTAATGCAGAAAAAAAGCCCAACAAAACGCTTGGAGGAGTGGGGATTTGAACCCCAGGCCTTTCACATGCGAAGCGAGCTGCTCTACCACTGAGCTGCAAACCATGTAAAATAAGTTTTTAACCACAGAAATTTACAAATATTATTAAATGTCTTTTTATTTAATTTGCTAAGTATTATACATAAAGTTACATGCAATTTAACAATATTATTCCTGAAATGCAGTACCTAAAAATTAAAATATTTAAATAAGCTCATATTTTTTTTATAAAAAAAATCATACAGTCTTGAATCTGTTTTTTTTGTGATAGATTTGATTAAAATACCATTAAAAAATTAGAGTCTTTTTGACAGAAAGCTTTAGAAAACTTTAGCTTAATTCTTATAAATCTGATTCTAAACAATATTAAGATTTCTTTACCTGTTGTTTTGTTTGTATTTCTATTTTCAGCTTCAAATGTAAATTAACAAAATAAAAGTCTTGATCATTTAGCACATAAGATTGAGTTTTGATTTTTATATTGCAGTATATCTTTCAGTTCTATTCAAAATATTTACAGTGAAATAATAATTGCAGTTAAAAATAAAATTTAAAATCAGAAATCTGATGCCAATGTTCTGTAGTAGCTCAAATTTTAACGCTCAGTACATATGCTGCATCCCAAAATGTTTATCTCATCCTCGTATTTTTCATCTAATTAATATAATAGTCGAGATCCAAAAGCCACTTAAAATCTCTAAAAGATAAAACATCTCAATAGATTTTGCATTTGTTCGCGGACTCACGGGCGCTCTTGGAAATGAGCAGCGGATTCATTGCAAAGGCTACATCCAAGCACAAAATTGACACTCTCTCTCTCTCTGACATTAATATTTTTAAATCATTTTAAAAGAAGATTTTGAAAGAAAGAATGGCAAAGTCTTGAAACGAGAGAATACCTCATTTCAAATAAAGGGAGCTAAGCAAAGAATTTTTTCCAA